AGCCATGTGAGTCAGTTATGTGCCATGCGTGAAACATACGTAGGCAATCATGTATCTTTTGATACATGACTGACGAGGCAGATTTTTTTTTTCCTGCAGTAGGTTGCCATTTCTTTCTGTGGTAGACCAGTTGCCATCCAAGGCTATAGAATCCGGTCAGGACTGCTATTTACCTGTAGCTGGAAGGAGAAGAAAAAGATTATTAGTACATAAGTGAATGTAATGGATTCGACTGGAATTTAAACTCGGCTCTCCAATTCCTCAATCCAAACCGCTATCGATTACTCCACCGTGCCTCCTGCTCAGCCATGTACTGTGATTAATTGTCTGGTCTTTACACCGTTTTGAGGCCAGCCATCTTTAAATGTGGTCTAACTCAAAGAAGCCTCAGTTTTTGACTACATACTCATACACGAGTAAGAATTAAGTATTGTGACATGAAGTGGAAAGATTATATTAATCAGTAGTTAGGTGTGTTGCTCGGAAATTTGGTTCAGAATGCTATTAGGCAATGTTTCTCACCAATATTTACAAATCTACCATTTGTTCGTACATCGAATGTTTCTGCCACATCTATTTTGTGGTTTCTGCTATATCCAGAGATTCTTGACAAAATCCAAAGAATTTGCAAAGTTATTGGTCCTGACCTGGTATCTTGACCTCAGTCAGTTTCCAACCGCCCTAACGCAGTTTCTTTGTGTCTTTTCTAAAAAAAAAATTTTGCAAGGTAATTCTTCTAATGAATCGACTTCATGGATTTAAGCGCAGTACTAGTTTGGCAGCTAGGTCTCATCATTTTACAGATGAAATTGCTAGTTTTAACCGTAACTTCTATTCCGATAGTTTCTTCTCTTGCACTTCTCGCCTGTTTTCTGCTTTCCTGTCTGCTACGACCATCAAAAATACAAATGCAATCTCAATTGTCATCATCTGTCTCCTTGAAACCTGTTTTCCTCTCTGCTTCTTTTACTCTCAGTAACCCTTACGTCTCAGTGGCTTTTTCGCCTTACTTGGAGTGGAATATTTAAACAACCCCCCCCAAAAAAAAAAAAAAAATCCGACAAACTAGAAATACTACTACTACTACTACTACTACTACTAATAATAATAATAAAAAAGAAGCGTTTATGGGGTGTACCGTCAGGGGTAGTACCTTTGTAGCGAAGCTGTCGACACTGCTTTACTCAGGAGAATTAGGAGGCGGAACTGTACTAGTCCACGGTCTACATCCAACTGTCACGCCTGGCTCCAAGAATTTGCATGGTCACTGCGACGGCCACTTCTTGGTCAACGGCATAGACCCGCCGGCTACACTGTATGAAGGTAGCCGGAAGGGATTCCCAACCCGATCTGCGAAGGGGAATGCTTCTTCCCAAATCGCCTGTGTCAAGAGGCCATCGGTCAGTTGACGGCCTAGACGGAGGAGCTGCACTTCAGAGGTCAGTGGTTTTAGCATTGGGTCGAGGAACTTCTGAAAGGTGGTACGGGGTAACCTCAACCTTTTCCGCTGCAAAAGGAATCGACAAGCCATTGCACTTAAATGGCACCATGAACCATAATTATGGGGAGTGGTGATCATATCGGCGAAAAATACGCTAACTGAATAAATGATGATGAAAGGAAAACACTCTATTCCAGTAATAATAGGAGCACTAGGAACCATTAAAAAGAATACTGACACATAAATTAAGAAAATTTCCACTATTTACATTATTCGGACTATTGTCCTCATCTTTGTCGCCATATCTATTACAACGTTTCGGCCGTTGTACGCTCCAGTACCTTCTTCAGGTGGTTGGAATGTCGAACTGAACCCTTTATTTCCCTCACTGGGGTAGACTGTTCTAGTTCCATGTGCCATGTCTAATGGATGTCAGTTATCTCCTGAAGAAGGACGGAGCGTAAAAAGGCCGAAACGTTGTAATAAATATGGCGACAAAGACGAGGACAATAGTCCGAATAATGTAAATAGTGTACATAACACCTCATCTCAGAAATATAGACAGATACTGAAAGGCCGAATCGTTTTGATAAATATGGTGACAAAGATGAGGGCAATAGTCCGAATAATGTAAATAGTGTATATAATACCTCATCCCAGAAATATAGACAGATACCGAAGAAAATTCCCATTCAGTTACAAATGATTGCGCTCGACACCATCGTCCAATCAGGAAAAAATTCTCTCTCAGTCTAATATGTTCAATAACCTTTTTAGAAAAACTTTCCTTCATCTCAAGTAGGAGGTAAAAGATTATATCAATCAGCAAATCGGTAAAACTGAAAATAATAATAATAATAATAAAAATAATAATAATAATAATAATAATAATAATAATAAAAATAATAATACATATACATATTCATTTGACGCATTCGGCGGAGGAGGGGGCGTATTCAACATTTTGCAGCAATACGCGCTTAAAGATTTCAGGTACTTTTGATCAACATTTCTTTTTATGCTTAGTCAAAAGGATTTGTAAATGTAGGGCTACCTTATATTTATATAAAATAATAACAATAATAATATTTATTAAGAATTTATTACAGGAAATATCAAGTTTTACGGAAACATTGTTGGCAATTATATATTTAGTTACATAACAAATAAATAAAAATAATATAAATTTTGATGCTATATTCAATTTGTTGTTAGGCATTTTTCATTTTCTCCTTTGTTATTGGCAACATTTTAAAATACTTTGGCTGCAATGCTAAGTTTCCTAAGTTAAACAAACTGGAACTATTTCAGTTATGCTTTGTTACCTCTCTTTTCCATTGTTGTTTTTAGATCACTTTCTTCCAGTCATTTTGATTGGCAATAGTAAAATTCTGAAATTTAAAATGATCGTATTCTATTCAAAAAATAAAAACTATGAAAAGGAATATTTTAAATTAATATACGACCAAAAAGAAAATGCTTTTGACAAAAAACCTTAAAGTTTCTATTATAATTATGTAACATTAAGTTAATGATATTCCGCAGACAAATCTGCGATTTATGTCGTTTCAACTATAAACCTAAATTCAGCTTTAAATATTGTGTAATCGGCTCTAATTTTTTGTAAAATACTTAGATTTGAAATAATGAATAATTTACAGTGAAAAAAAGCAATTTTCGATTTTTTGCTGAATACGCCCCTCCTACGCCGAACGCGTCATTTATCCTAAAGTCTTTTCGGAATTAATAAGAACGGTAATACACATGTCACATCTAATGTAGACAAGTCGATTGTTATGGACTGGCAATATCTCTGCAGGGGTAACTTTTAAATATTCATAGAATAGGCTGCGTTAGAGTTAGTTTCACCTAACGCAATTTCTAAAAAACGTTATCCCAAAAAACTCGAGTCATGTTCTTAAATAGCCTCCTCAGATCAAGACATTCATATGGATGGCATGCATGGCGTCGAAGTCTGCTGTACGCAATCGCTTTCTTGGATCAATTGTTAAAAATGGCTTTGAGCAAGTGAATCCTGTTCGTCTTCGCTAAGACGATTCCTTCTTCGAACCTCGTGAATTAGGAGCTACAGAACCACAAAGAACTGTCCCAAATAACAGAAACCACATCACCTGATGACTTCCAATAGCAGCAACAATTAAAATGGATAGCACATGTAAATTGAATAGAAAATAATGACATAAACAAGATGTTGACATTCTACGCTACTTCAAACAAAAGGTTAGGAAGGAAATACTGAAAAGAGCGATAACAGCTACTGGACCTGAGAAACATATTTTTCTGAAAAATTGTTTTAAGAAAAAAAAATGAATTCCAAACGTCAGTAGTACTCGCTGCTCAGTCAATGAATGCCAAATGTTTCCTTATAAAGAAACGGTTAATAACGTCATTACCAGTCCCATAATAAGTCAGCTAAATTAAGACTATAATCTGATATGACTGTATATTTGTAGAGTGGTAAATGATATGAGATGAAGAGAGATTATAAATTTACTTGCAGTTGCTTTTTATTGGCTCAAAAATCTTTCGAAATTGGACGTATTCCGTTTTTTGTTATCACATGAATTCTTTTCTTTTCTCTTCGACAAAAGATTTTCTTTTCTCTTTCTTTTTTTATTCCTGCATCCTGTTTATTTTCTCATTAATCTTCTTCCGTACGTTATTTTCATTTTTTCATATTTTCTCTATGCAAACTTTTATCTCGCCTACTGCTTCTTCTTCTTCTTCTTCTTCTTCTTCTTCTTCTTCTTCTTCTTCTTTCTTCTCTCGCTACCATGCTTTCATGCTTTACGCTAATTTCTTTTTTTATATATGTATTCTTTTCGTCATTTCTGCCGTCTTCTTCTTCTTCTTCTTCTCCTTTTCTTCTTCTTCTTCTTTTTCTCCTTCTCCGTCTTCTTCTTCTCCTTTTCCCGCTTCTTCTTCTTTTTCCTCTTCTTCTTCTTTTTCCTCTTCTTCTTCTACTTCTTCTTCTCTCGCTACCATGCTTTCATGCTTTACGCTAACTTTTTTTTATATATGTATTCTTTTCGTCATTTCTACCGTCTTCTTCATCTTCTTCTTTTTCCTCTTCTTCTTCTTCTTTTTCTTCTCCTTTTTCTTCTTCTTCTTCTTCTTCTTCTTCTTCTTCTCTCGCTACCATGCTTTCACGCTTTACGCTAATTTCTTTTTTTATATATGTATTCTTTTCGTCATTTCTACCGTCTTCTTCTTCTTCTTCTTTTTCCTCTTCTTCTTCTTCTTCTTTTTCCTCTTCTCCTTCTTCTTTTCCCGCTTCTTCTTCTTTTTCCTCTTCTCCTTCTCCTTTTCCCGCTTCTTCTTCTTTTTCCTCCTCTTCTTCTTCTTCTTCTTCTTCGTTTCTCGCTACCATGCTTTACGCTAACTTCTTTTTTATATATGTATTCTTTTCGTAATTTCTGCCGTCTTCTTCTTCTTCTCCTTTTCTTCTTCTTCTTCTTCTTCTTATTCTTCTTCTTCTTCTTCTTTTCCCGCTTCTTCTTCTTTTCTCTCCTCTTCTTCTTCTTCGTTTCTCGCTACCATGCTTTACACTAACTTCTTTTTTATATATGTATTCTTTTCGTCATTTCTACCGTCTTCTTCTTCTTTTTTTTCCTCTTCTTCTTCTTCTCCTTTTTTTTCTTCTTCTTCTTCTCTTTTTTCTTCTTCTTCATTTCCTTCTTCTTCTTCTTCTTCTTCTTCTTCTTCTTTCGCTACCATGCTTTACGCTTTTTTTATATATATTTTCGTCATTTCTATCTCTCTAATGTCTTTGTCGTCGTTTTCTTCTTCTTCTTCTTCTTCTTCTTCTTCTTCTTCTTCTTCTCTTCCTCCTCCTCCTCCTCTTTTTTTTCGCTTTTTGTCTTCTTTTTAACTTCTCTGTTTTCCTCTTTTTCTCCTTTTTGTATATCTCTTTCATTTCTTCTTTTTTTTTTTTTTTATTTAGCTTTTTCGCATTTCTTTACCGCCGCCTTTCGTCTCGTCAAATTTCTTTCCCTGACAATACTAGTTTTTCATTCCTTCCTTCTCATCAATATGCTTATTCTCTTTGCCATCTTTTTTCCTTCTCTCCTTCCTATTTTTCATTTTCTCTCATATTTTCCTCCAATATCTTTCCCCCCATCTTCTTTCTCTTTCTTCTTTTCTTTTTCTATACTTCTTTTCTACTTTTTTTTTTTAATTTCTTGTTCAGCAGTACACAACAAGCACTAATACATACACAAACGTACACCATTTTCTGCACCAACCACATCTACCCAGCCTCCCCCAGATTTTTTTTCCCTAGGGTGTGGCACCCGATTTATTTTATTTTATTTAATGGTGTCACACTATTTATTGACATCTCGATAGCTTTTACGACCCTTACTCCTACCAGTAACAACCCCACTCACAGTCTATTTCGGGTGGGTTCCGTTTCACTGTTTGGTTATTCCAATGGATTACGTAAAAACATTTCCCTAGACCCCTTAACCCACTCTGTCCTCCCTGTACCTCTCCCCCACCACCTTGGTAATTTGGGCGTTAGTACCTTGGAGGTGGTGGGGTTCATCGGTCGTGTAGAAGAGCTTGTCATTAAGAACATCTTAATGTTATAAGATTCCATGGTGGTTGGGTGGGGGATGGGAAATAGTCGATGGTACCGGGTAAGTTGGGTTGTGAGATTGAATATAGCTGTGGAATCCGAAAACTGAATTAGCAAGTAAGAGAATACCAAAAGTACTTCCAAATTCGCTTCTTACAAGCCCGAACCCACACTCTTAGATTCAGGCCCTGAAATGTAATCTCATATTTTTCTTTATCTATCTATCTATCTATCTATCTATATTCTAGTTTTCTATCTGAATATTCACAATATTTTGTATACGCACGCATATATATATATATATATATATATATATATATATATATATATATATATATATATATATATATATATATATCATTTAAGATATAATATGATATTTATTTATTTTGAGAGATATATTTAAGTCTATCCATATCTATCTATCTATCTATCTATCTATCTATCTATCTATCTATTTAAATATTCACAAAATATTGTACACGCACACACAATCACACATAATTATGTCTAAATAAATATATATATATATATATATATATATATATATATATATATATATATATATATATTTAATTTTACCAGTGATATGTACTTATTTTGAGAGATATAATTCAGTCCATCCATATCTATCTATCTATCTATCTATCTATCTATCTATCTATCTATCTATCTATCTAAATGTTCACAAATTATTGTACACGTAAACAAACATACGCACGATTACAGATATAATCATCTCTATCTCTCTCTTTTCTCTCTCTTTTCTTTCTCTCTCTCTCTCTCTCTCTATATATATATATATATATATATATATTTATTGTGGGAGAGAGAAAGAGAGAGATTTTAAGTCCCAGTAATATATATTTATATTGAGAGGTATATTTCAGTCTGTTCATATTCATCTATCTATCTATCTATCTATCTATCTATCTATCTATCTATCTATCTATCTATCTATCTATCTATCTATCTAAATGTCCACCACAAAGTATTGTACACGCACACAAGTACACACAATTACACATATATCTATCTCTTTTCGACTCAGCAGTCCATGCTTCATAAGGCCATGTATCGGATCCAGGAAAGCTCAAGAAACGTCGTTGAAATTCACTTTATTTCTCTCCTTTTCGTGGAAAATTAGTCTAATACGCGCGCACACACACACACACACACACACACACACACACACACACACACACACACACACACACATATGTGCGTGTGTATACTATAACGTATTTAATACAACTAGAGTATAATACCATAATAAATCCATAGAAACCTGGAATAAGTTCCACCCTTGAGAATAATACGACCCCCGTAGCCATCGCTATGTAACTTCTTTTGAAAAGTTGTGCCATTTTATCCATTAAAATCTCAATGTCGTCCATATATTTCTATAAATATTTAATTTTGAACGATATTAAAGAATAGGAACGAACCGGATGTATAGCCATGTCCTATTTCTTTCAATTTTCGCTTCAAAAATTATTTTCGGCGAAATGCGTTTTGTTGTAACATTAATTTTCTCAAACATAACAGATCTTGTTCATTCCTTTTGTTAATTTCTTAATCGATATCGGTGAATTTTCTGTCTTTGAAACAAAAGACGTTCAATTATGCTGATTCTTAAAGTACAAATATGGCCGACACCTTTTGTAAAGAATTGTTATCAACAACTGCCTACTTTGTATTTTATTATCTATTGTGCTGAGTGGATTTGCTGTTTCAGATAAGAGGCTTTTTTTATGCTGAGTATGTGTCTTCTCACAGGATTTATTCAACCTATACAGCGAGGCAATTCTGAGAGGATTAGAAGTCCTACCAGGATTCATTATTGGTGGTCACAATCTTAAAAGCTTCTACAGAAGGGAAGGAAGAAAAGCCAGAAGAAAGGACTAAGTATAAAAGACAGAATGCATAGTTATCAGCAAAAGGGCAAGCCCAAAATGCAAATTAAAAATCGGGGATGCTAAAGTCAATCAAATACAGAACTTTAAATATTAGGTTGTCCCAAAAGTTCGTAAACACTTGCAAAAAAGTGAAATTTTACTCGCCAAGTAATAACAAAAACAACAAAAATTATTCCTCAAAATAAAGACCATCATTTTCCAAGACTTTCTGCCATCGATCTGCAAGCTTTCGGATCTGGTGAAAGTACCATTCAGCCGGCTTCGAATCAAAGAATTCTTGACACGCTTCCTCGACTTCATCAAACGAGTCGAATCGGCGGCCCTTCAGAAAGTGTTGCATTGAGCGGAAAAGGCCGTAATCTGATGGAGCACAGTTAGGACTGTAGGCTGGATGTGGCAGAAGCTCAACGCCGTCCAGATCTTCAAACTTGTCTTTGGTCTTCCTGGCGGTGTGTGGTTTGGCATTGTCCTGCTGCATCAAAGCGCGCTTTCGGTTGATCAGAGCCGGGTACTTTTGCTTAAACTTTTCGTAGACCTGCTCCAGTTGCTGACAGTAAAGTTCAGCACTGATGGCACGACCATTCGGAACCAACTCAAAATGCACGATTCCTTCAAAGTTCCACCAAACGCACAACATGACTTTCTTGCCTAATCGATCTTGTTTTGGAACCGACGGTGTCTCTTGCCCTTTCTGAACCCATCGCTTGTCTCGATTGTGCTGGATTCTGTTGCATAAAAATTCAATTTTTCGCAAGTGTTTACGAACTTTTGGGACAACCTAATATTTGGGAAGCGTTCTGAGAGATGACGACAAAAAACAACAACAACAAAAAAAACAAAAAAAAACAACAAAAAAACAAAACAAAAAAACAAAAACAAACTTGAAAGATCTCCTTAGTCATGGACATGAAGCCGTTGATAAAATCGTCGAAACATTCCACCCAGTGATGCTGTGCCTTTACAAGCACTGGCTGCAGACAATGCTATAGAGACCATTCGATAACATTCTGTTAGATGGCATTTCACTCTATAAGAACTTTCATTCGCCTTTTGACAGGATTTTTTTTTACAGTAATTCTGTACGAGGCTCGGGGGCCACTCGAAGTAGAGGGTTACGTTAAGGTCCAGTTCATATGGATAGGAGGGTAAGATAACGGTTGACTCTAGACTTGAACAGGTGAAGATTAGAGTGATCAGGGAAACAACCTCTTGGGAGTCAGTTTCACAGGGCAGTGGTTCGCGGGAAGAAGCTGTTTGAGTGGAATTTCTCGCCGATGGAATACGGAGCGAATGTGGGTGGTTTGTTACTATGTAAGTGGCATCGCTAGCCCAAGCGGGCGGAGGTCAGACCTAGTGGAACTAGGGAATGCAGTTTGCCCGAGCACTTTCCACGATTGGGCAAAGAGAGGCTCGCTACATCCCGCCTGTGAGAGTGATGTTGGAAGGTGGAAAATTCTTCTCCTCCAACAAGGACTCGGAGATGATTTTTAAGACTAGAAAGTGAGGTCTGGGCAGCTTCTGCCTAAATATAGCAACAGTGCTTCATTTTCGGCCTCATCTGGCTCTTATAAAACGAGAGGATAGCATGTGAAATCAGGTACTTACTGGAGCGGTACAGGGAGTTGTTCATTTTACCTGCCTCTTTAGCGATGGGTCGTCTTCCATTTGAGGTCGGATGTGAGTTTGAGGCCCAATATCCTCTTGAAGCACCGTGCCTTCTCGAGGGGACACCAGTTCATCTTGACTGGAGGTAGTTCGGGCTCTGGTCTCAGGTGATGGAACGTAACCATCATTTTTAATCCTGTAAAGTGTCTAGCCAACCTCATCACCAGAAACGCCTGGTTGGGAAACTGTGTTAGTCGTCGATGACACGACCATGCGGCACATAGTACTGGTTTACACGCTACCAGAATTCATGCGTTCCTCGTAAATGCGAGTAGGAAGCTCATAAAAACTCTCCTCACTCTAACTTTCTAAAAATAACTAGCGATGGCTGAAAATAAATCGAACAAGAACAGAATGAATTCTGGGTAGTTCTGTAAATTTTATACGGGTGTGTCTGACAGCTTATAATAAAATCCTGAAACATGCAATAAATAATTAAACAAAAAAATTTCATGGATTAATTTTGATAAAACCTGCTTGAATTTTGGTTTGGTTTGTTTTGTTTTACGGCATATCAACCACCATGGGTTATCTAATGCCGACGAAATTTCCTTTCTTTTTCAAAAATGTATAGCTGGTAATTTTTCCAGAAATGTATAGCTGGTAATATTTTTTTTTCAAAAATGCATAGTTTGGTTTGTTTTGTTTTGTGGCATATTAACCCTAGAACACTAACCATGGGCATATAGTACCCAGCGCAAATTTTCCTGTTTTTAATTACAATTTTCAGTACCGGATTTTCTGACCTAAATAATATGTTTTTCAGTCCCTATTAATGTTAACTTAAAGTACAAAGTTTGAAGTGCCTGCATGTAAAATATTTCAAATAAAGATTTATATTTAATATTTTCAAAATCGGGTATGATATACCCATGGTTAGTAGGGGTGTAACTTTAATTGATGGTTAATGTTCTAGGGTTAACCTCAACAGATTATTTAATGCTGACAAGATTTTTATTTCTGGTAATATTTTCTTTTTTCAAATATTTATTGCTGGTACTAATTTTTTACAAAGTATTTCTAGTCTTAAAATCTATTTTTACAACTTCATAGTGTTTTGAGTCAGGTTGTGGGGTCAACTATTTGCCCATAGCTGGGACCCTAAAAGGTGCTACCACCCCTGGTCAGGGTGGACCTGGGAACACCAGCAATTAAGAGGTGGTTCCATGCTCCTCAAAACCTCCTGATCAGAGGCCTTGCTGTTGGACGTAGTTTATCGTCTTACCCAGGACGCGGATGCAGTTTATCGTCATACCCAGGACAGAAAACCTGCTTGAATGAATTCGATAAAGTGAAGATTGAGGTTAACGATAGTCTACTTTATGCTTAAACGCAAACTTCAGGCGATCTGTGTTATGTTTTGGATCGACTATTTATATATGCTGGTTAATGGTGCATTATGGGTAGGTCTATTGTTTTATTCTAACATTTACTGGGTGGGCGGTAACGGGTAAGTTTCAAATTATTGTAGCGGCTATTGTGCAGAAATAATTATGTATAGTTGATCCAAAACACAGCAGATATAGCCTGAAGATTGTCTTTAAGCATGTAGAAGATTGACACCGCTGGCTGTTGAACCCCAATGTCCACTTTTATACTTATATAGAGTCTGTTTATGACTTTGAGAGCTTCAACCCATAAATATAGTATACCTTACAATAATATTTTTATCATGTGGAGCCGCACGTGCGCATACGAACATAAACAAAATAAAATAAGTGCATAAAAAAAAAAAAAATTCGAAAAATATAAGCATAAACGCTGGATGAACGTTTACAGAGACCAAATAATGTATTTGAGCACAGTTCAGCAGTGGCGACGGCAAAGTGCATGACAGCCCACGGCTCGTGCGGTCTGGCGCAATTCTGAAAGCCCGAAGTGTTCATCACTGGTAAAAAGGCGTGGCGGCTATGAGGACAACACAGCCATCAAACCAACCATGTTTACTGTTTTTTCCTGAAAATAAATAGAAGGCAGAACTTTTGGAGCGAACCTGGTGAATATATATATATATATATATATATATATATATATATATATACACACGCACAAACAAGACGGTTTCGCTGTATTACAGTCCATCAGTGTCGCTAGGCATCCGATTGCTTCAAGCCAGGATCGAAACTCGACTGATTTGGCATTAGCTAGACAGACTACCCGTAAGCTATAGGTGAACGGAGGGAAAAGAATATTTTAAGGCATTATATACGTGATGTATATACACGTCAAATGACCAGCCAGAGAGCTCAATTCATATGAAGACCGATGCTTTACAAGCAGGATATATATATATATATATATATATATATATATATATATATATATATATATATATGTGTGTGTGTGTGTGTGTACATATATATATATATATATATATATATATATATATATGTGTGTGTGTGTGTGTGTGTGTGTGTATATATATATATATATATATATATATATATATATATATGTGTGTGTGTGTGTGTATGAATGTTTCTTTTAAACATCTTTCGTTAACGTTTCGGCCGTTGTACGCTCTGGCCTTCTTCAGGTGGCTGGAATGTCGAACAGAACCCTTTATTTCGTTCACTGGGGTAGACTCTCCTCAAGGACACATGGCACAGTGGATAAAGGCGTTGGTTAGATCCAATGACAGGACCCAAAGAGTGTGAGTTCAATACCCAGTTAAGGCAGTGGAATACTTTCAGAGGGAAATTAACAGGAGATAACCGATAATTGACATCCATCAAACATGGCAGGTGGAACTAGAACAGTCTACCCCAGTGAGCGAAATAAAGGGTTCGGTTTGACATTCCAACCGCCTGAAGAAGGCCGGAGCGTACAACGGCCGAAACGTTGTGATAGATATGGCGAAAAAGATGAGGACAAT